ATTCCTTTATCTAAAGAAAGGATAGGGTTCTCGAATGGTTTTTTTTTCCATTTCTCTCTCATTTAGATGGAGTATCGCGGTAATCTGTTGATTTAATTTCATTTTAGAATAACATAGTATTTAGTGATGGATACAAGAATTCCGTTTCGTCAATGTTTTATTTCTGAATAACATAGTATGCAATGATGGATACAATAGTTCACTTTCGTCAATGTTTTATTTCAGAATAACATAGTATGTAATGATGGATTAAAGAGTTCCCTTTCGTTCAATTTTTGTTTCGGAATAACATAGTATGTAATGATGGATACAAGACTTCCCTTTAGTCAATGTGTTATTTTGCTGGTGTTATAGTGAGTGCTAACGGATTCGGCTACTTATCTGATCTGTAAGTAATAATTATGTTCTCACACATGCATCAAACTGTCTATATAAGGTATACCCGTTTGATAAATGTTCATATTCGATCTATTTTAATAAAGATGATACAAATTATATGGACTTGATGTACATAAGACAAGGTCCATGATTAAACAATACTGCACAGATTCGGAAAATCTTTTTTTTTTAATAACTAGAACCTGGAAGAAAATCGAGTTTAAACGAGCTTTTCTCCTATTTTGAATCGAAAACAACTATATTTCATATTTTCCGACAATGTAAAGGAACTATGTAAACGGTGTCCTCTATGAAATGTGCCTTTGTGTTCTCAGTGTACTGTGACTTCCATTTTGCAATACCACTTCACAACAGGACATTCATTTTGGTATGTTTTCTTTGTTTTCTATATTGATTCTTTACTTTTTAATAACATAGTATATAAAAGGATGAATTTGGCATACATTAATTACATGTATGCATGAAAATAATAATACAATTTTGAAAGTATTTGGGTGTATTGTCTGAATGTCCGATCGCGTGCCATGATTTTTTACAATTTAGTTAGAAAAAATTGTTACAAATGCCATGATTCTTATTATTGATGTATATTTTTACATTGAATAAATATACATAGTCGGTTAAGTCTGCAATTGTACTGTGACTATGCGTTCACGTTTTTGTGTACAGTGACATTCCTTTGTGGTAGAACGATTAACAAAATATATACCAATAAGATAATTTCAAGAAGGGGAAAGTCCATAAAACCTGACAAAACCAAAAACGCTCGACTATATCAAACAGCGGAACGAAAGGAAATCAACTGTCATATTCTTGACTTGGTACTGGCTTTTTCCGATGAAAATGGTGGGTTAAGCCTAGTTTTATAGCTAGCTTAACCTCCCACTTGTATTACAGTGTTTCGTTATGTTGACAAAATTGAGTGAGCAACCCAAACAGAGGCAATTGTGACAATAATTTGGATGGAGCAGTAAAAATGTGGAAATATACACCAGGAACTCCCAAAGCCAAAAAAAAACCAGAAATTGGATGCACAAATACCGAGTCACGTCAAGAGTCGTACGACCAAAAGGATCACAAAAATACAAAAATAAGTAAAGGAAAAATCGGAGATTAAGATAGAGTTTATTTCAGAGAAGGACCGATATTTAGAATTTATCAGAAGTTTTTTATGAATCTACATATGAATTATGTAACTCCGCGAGTAAACAGTATTACAGCATTCCCTCTTTCGGTGCAGACAAAATTTTGGACAATCTACCTGACAATTCCTTGGAAGAACATGCAGATGAGCCGGCAACGTACCGCTGTTTGCACGGAGTTTTGTAAAGTTAGGTATCCAATACAAACAGGGTAAGTCCTCAGATTTATTGCTAAACGTAATATTAAATGAGGACACGAACGACTTGTTATTGCCTAGATCTCATCCTAATCAGAAGCTACGTTTTTGCACGTGGGCTTAACCAAGTGTTCGTTTATTTATAATTTATTGATGTGAAACTCATAAGAATAGGATTTACAGACAAAAAACCCATATTGTTTGAAACTTTGTCAGCAGGAACAACAGCATATTTATCACGAAGAGAGGATATACTTTCACAGCTTCATTGTCTGTCAATACGGACTTATGTCGAACATTTACAAAGTTTGTTCAACTTTTGGATTCAACTTTGTATCAGAGACCGAATTGCTTTCACCCTTTCTGACAGAGCTATCAGCTTTCATGTCCTAGGATGACCATATTGGTTTGTAATTTTGGTTTAACCATATTATAACCCCGCAAACTTGGTAAGAAATTATAGTCGATGTTTACGTTTGGTTCATTGTTCTCTTTCACTAGACAGTATTTTATATAATATACATCCATGTCATGTATTTCCTCCCAACAAGCACACGAAGCCGCAAAAATAATATCGAACATGCACGAAAAAAGCATAGCAGAATTGAATTCACTGCAACAGTACAGTAAAAAAAATGTGTCGGAACGTAACCAAGTTTGAACCAATACAAGTTTTGTATAAACCTAATATGTTTTATGTTTGTACTGATAACATAAACTATACCTATCTATAGTTATGGATTGAGTAGTCATGTACACCTTTTTACTTAGAAGAGAGGAATGATTAACAAGCAGTAACTGTTGAAAGTGTGGAACATGACACACAAGAATAGACAGACAAGGACGGACCTGACAAGACTATAGTGAAAAAATAAATCAAGTCTTTAACGGCATAGCTTTATAAGACACAATGGTACTGCACAATTGAATATAAAGAAAGATAAAACAAAACAACAAAAAACAAACAAACAAACAGTTAGAATGAATGCTACAATTCAGTCCCAACCTACAGATTCTTGGTAAAACTAATAAAGGTCAAATGATAGCAACCCAATTTATGTTGTCCCAAAGACACAGAGCTGCCTAAAGATGAAATTTTTTTTAAGGAATTAAAATTACATGAAGCCACAGTACATTCACAATTGCTTTGTACAAGAAGTACACAGGACTGAAATGAATGCGAAATCCCAGTACACTTGCAGACTAAACCGACTATGTATATTCATTATATGTAAAAGTATAAAGCAATATTAAGGATCATGCTTGTTTGATATTACAGATAAATGATTTTGGCGAGGGATTCAATTCATGCTTTGGCATTTGTAACAATACTTTCTAACTAAATTGTCAAAATTCTTGGAACGCGATAGGACGTTCAGACAATACACCAAATACTTTAAAATATTAGGATCATTATTATGCAAATGTCCAATGAATATATGCAAAATTTATTCTTTAATACATCTTGTTACTAAACAGTGATAATTCAGTATGGAAAAGTAACATACCAAACTGAATGTCCTGTTGTGAAGTAATGTTGCAAAATGGAAGTCACAGTACACCGAGAACGCATTTTTTGGACGCGAACCTGGAGGATTTATTTTGGATTTTCTTGTACTGGTTTTTATTATACGTTTTATCAATCTACTGATCGATATAAAAAAAAAGAGTGAGGATTGAGATAGTACACTAGTTGAATCACGCCTCATGCAAAGCTTTTCCTTGTCCGACTTTCAAATTGGCCATACTGTATGTCCTTTTTTTTGTTTATAATCTCTTCCTTTTTCTAATAAATTTTTGATTTTCAAGTATTTTGGCCTCGGGCAATACTGAAAAGATATCGATTGTCAAAATGTGCAACTGGTGCAGTTAAATTGGCACCGGTAATGTTATACATATGCATCTGCTAGTACCAAATCATGAGCCTCGTCAGTAATTGTCATTTGTCAAATCTTAATTGTATTTGTTATTTTGAGAATTAATTATTGGTGGCATGTTTTTGATTGTTTCTGTTGTTTTGCAGTCGAAATCTAAGTGAATGCAAAACGAAATTTCATGTGTTTTCAGAGCGTTTTCGACAATAATCAAGATATCAAATCCTATTAAAACTGTTAATCAGATGGAAAAGACAGGGCAATGGCTCAAACATTTCAACCTGTGGTGGTGTATCTACTTAGTGATGTTTTTTTTTTAACTTTCGCACATATCTTTTTTTCCAATACACTAAAAACTGTCGATATGCATGAGTAACTACAATAACCTGCAAACAATGCCAATCTGAATATAGATGATCGAAGGTGGCATAGAAGAGGAAAACAAGTTGAGCAATTAAATCGAAGGTGCTTCTTTTGTCCTGCCCCTTTTAACCAAATCCGTTAACAGAATACTTACTAATCTTAAGATACTATACATTAGTTATTTGAATCCTATAAAATCCATAGCGCATATCTCTGGATTAGTGCAACAGAGCAAAGTACTAACAATTTAACATTGCTTTGAGTCATAACTTGCTTATATATTGTAAAACTGCAACTGTTCATTTTAGCAGTGTGCAATACAATTATTAAACTCTTTTTGATTTCAGAATTGGTCGAAAGAAAACTTTGTATCTCTCTGTATGTTTAACAATATTGTCAACGATTTCGATAGCATGGTCCCCATCTTACTGGGTTTTTGTTTTGTTTAGATTTATAATTGGAATGTGTGGTACCGGTTTATATGTAACTTCATTTGTATTAGGTTTGTTATACTTTATATAGTTTATTCAAAAGTATTTACTCCAACGACAAAAATACAAAACTGATAATAAAAAATGTTGATAACAATCGGTTTGAATTAAATACTTATCAGAATAATAAACTTTGCATTTGGAAAAATAAATACTGCTTCTCAGATTTAATATATTTATGATTTGGTTGCATAGATAAAAGAAACCATGAAAATTTATCAATAAAAGTACTTCATAAAGTAGGAAAAATGCACAAGCATGATAGAAATATTTAAAGAAAGACATTTAAAAAAAAAAAATAAATGTGAAAGCATGATAGTCCTGGTATATCATTACTGTTATCGGAATGTATTTCAGGCATGGAAATAGTAGGACCTTCTAAACGGATATGGACTGGAATAATATTGAACTATTTTTTTGGTGCTGGTTTTGTTCTCCTTGGAGTTGTGGCATACTTCATAAGAGATTGGATGTATCTTCAGATTGCAGTGTCGGTTCCTGTTGTTATATTTTTGTCTTATTGGTGGTAAAAAAATCCTAATCAAACTATGTTCCGTCTTGTGTTTTAGTAAGGAAATTTTCAGTTTATATCGAGGTAGATTTCGTATGTGTCGTATACAATGTGCGTAGGTAACATTTTTTACAGGCCACAAAATTATCTAAGATACATCAATCTCATACCAAAGATAACTTAGTTACGTTTCTTTATTCCATAGAAATATTTTTACATCTGTATCAGAGTGTCGTTTTGTTGAATTGCGCCGTGGATTATTTATTTACAACATGTAAGGAAACAGTGCAGTGAACTCTTATTGATTATGAAGAAACTTCTGACCAGTCGTACAATTTCAATAAAGTCAATATATAATGCAACTATTACAAAACAATTGAGTTCGTCAGAGGGCATCAATTTTACAACATATTCGCACACAAGATGAGTTATCAGCATAATTGTTTTTTTTTTCAAAATGTTAATGCATTTCTTAATCAAAATACAAGTTGTTATACTAAAAATATGACATGACTGCCTTTTTGACTTTGCGAGTAGAATAAACACATTCTAGCATGTACATTTTGCATGAATATATGAAATGAAACAAATAAATTATCTTTTTTTTGCATTTTGTTCTTTGTAGAGCGATTTTCAAAATCTTCGTTGGTATTTATAAAAGAGCAGATCCAAGTATTACATATACGCGACGATTTACGTTTTTCTATTTTCGAAGGTCAGTAAACTAATTAGATCTCGAAATCTCTTTAGTTTACTTATACAGTATGCAACTTAGAACTTGTCCTATCTATATCTCGATGATTAACTGAATAACGTTTTCAAAGGTTATTACCAGAATCACCCAGATGGCTTGTACAGCAAGGAAGATTGGCTGAGGCGGACGCTTTATTAAGAACAATTGCAATTGGAAATAAAACTGTCATTCCAAATAAGTTCCAAGTAAATACAAAGATGGACCCGGTGCAAGCTGGGAAAATGTGTGACTTGTTCACTAACCGAGTTCTTCTGTTCCGAACATTGATCATATTTTTCAATTGGTAAGTGTTGGTTTAAGTGTAATATATACTTTAATGTGTGTGTTTGTTTATTCTACATTGGCTAGAGGTATAGGGGGAGGGTTGAGATCTCACAAAACATGTTTAACCCCGCCGCATTTTTTCGTCTGTCCCAAGTCAGAAGCCTCTGGCTTTTGTTTAGTTTTGTATGTTTTATCAATTTTAGTTCATTTATATGTTTCAGAGTTTAGTGTGACGACCATTTTCACTGAACTAGTACACATTTTTGTTAAGGGGCCAGCAGAAGCCCGACTCCGGGTGCGGGAGTTTCTCGCTGTGTTGAAGACCCATTGGTGGCCTTGGGCTGTTTTTCTACTCTTTGGTCGGGTTGTTGTCTCTTTGACACATTCCCCATTTCCATACTCTATTTTATTTAATGCATGCTTTGTTAAACAAAGTGTAGAAAGTCATGTGAGACCATAAACACCAGAAGGTCCTAAATATTGCATATCCTGGCGGCTTATACAATGATAATTTCAATCGTTTTTCAACGTACCCTTGTCGGAGTAGTTTTTTTTTTAGATAAAAGCTCACGTCTGTAAGTGACGTGGGCATAAAAAGAACAATTCATAGGCCCAACTTATTGTAATACCTTAAGACATAGGGTGTGACGGGTGGCATGTTATTACTCGGGAATGGGAAATTGACAAAAGGAAAACCAAATTCAACATCGCGTTTGTCATGGATTCTATTTTTCAGTTTTTAATCAGAATCATTTTGAATGTGGATTTCTTATTATTCTTAAATATCTACTTTAAAATTTTCAATCACAATCATTTAAATTATGCAACAATGTTAACAGCTTAGATTATTCCATACTCTACACAAATATTCAACGTGTTGATTTGATAGATCGACTAAACCTTCGAATTAAAAAATTCCGTTTGTTCTTTTACAAAACCAAATGGTATTCGTACTTGTATAAAGTGACGAAAAGACTGTGAAAAACCACGCTTATTCAAAACATTTTAGGCATTAACGAATGCAGAAAAATCTTCATATCTGGATTTTTTCTTAAAATGTACACAGATGGACAACTTCAGACTAAGGTCTACGACACACGTGATGATTTCAGTTTTCTCATTGTCATCTTCTTATTTCTCAGAACTAACCCCATGGTATGGCGTTTTCCTATCTCAATGAATACGTTTTTCATGTTTTTGTGGCCTTTAAACGTTAAGAGTGGTGTTCTCTTAAAACAAAAATTCCTCAAGCAGAGTAATAATACCACATCTTCTTATTTTTATAATGAGAAAGAATGACTTGAGATCAACAAACAACAGTCTTACGGTCACCATCACGATTTGGTTAGCCGATACGATGTGTCTATGTTTTTATTAATCCGATCGGGGATCGATCCCACGACCTATAACAACCAAAAATGATTTTATATTTGGACTGCACCTTGATAATGAGTTGTAGCATGTAACCAGTTTTTACATCTGCCGTGCATCCACTTCACGATTGCCAACTGTTATTTTACAGTTTACATGTTACCTCAATCAATTGCATGCAGCGACGCAGGTCTATCCGGTATTTGTCTTATTCATTTACGCTTTTGATTGATAATTTGTAAACATCTCTATCATCCTTTTGACTCTTTGTAAAAGCCCACTACAGTATATCCAGAAAGCCTTATTAAATAAAGAATGTATTCGTTCCTGAGGATCAAATAGATGACTTTTCAAAATTGGCAGAATGTTTACAACGTCGAAATGAAAACAAATCTTTAAAACCGTATAACCTCATAAAACCTTACAACCAGTGATCATTTTAAAACTCACGTGTACTAGCCCGATAAAGATGATACTAAAATCGATCTGAATTTATCCCTATAGAATTCAGATTTCCTTTATAAACTAAACTGGTAAAAACAAAAAGATTCAAATGTTTCTTATCTGAGCACCGTATCCCAAAATGTTTTTTTTTTCATACTAGTATTCAGAAGTACACAGTCACAGTTGGACCTTCAGTTACCTAGAATTCACCTTAAAATGACTTTCCGTCTATTTGTGTATACAGGACATCTGAAAATGTCTATAAAACTTCTGCTAGTAATAATGGTTATATAACATCTGGATTTTATAAGAAGTTATATATTCAAATTGATAATTGTAAAGGTGATTGATTTCTTATTTTCAGGATAGGTATCAGCATGGGATATTACGGACTGTCTCTCAGTACTCACAACCTCAGTGGAAACTTCTACTTGAACTTTATACTGTCAGGAATAACAGAATTTATCGCATATACTTTGTGTTTGGTTTTTCTGGATAGGGTTGGTAGAAAGAAATTTCATGCATCTTGTGTAATAATTGGTGGATTTGCCTGCTTATCAACTATATTTACTATGTTGTATGCCGAAGAAAGTAAGCATGATCTAATACTTTAGGATTCTCATTAGATTATGTCTTTTACATGTAGCATTGAGTAGCTTATTAAAAAACAGTTACTTTTAAAGTACTTATTACCATGTTAAATGCGCGACTGTTTTCGACATTTCGATTGCAAGTGGATTGAACACACTTCCATTTTGATCCACACACGTTTTAGAAATGACACGATTCATTTGCCCTTATCCAAGATATTCATTATCATTGGACTTAACGTATACAATTTGCCAACCACGATTTTTTATATTTCTTGCATAAAAAATTTTCCTTTATAAACGGCTACTTTTTTTCTTTAAATAAGTATAAGTTTGATGGTCGTACAGTGACCTATAGTTGGTTAGTTCCACGTCATTTGCTATCTGGTGGATAGTTGTTTCATTGGCTATCATACCACATCTCCTTTTTTCATATTTATTTCATTACATCCTGACAAAGATTTGACATAGCACGAAGTAACTTCTAACAGTCCACTCAAAGGCACCTTTTACATGTTTTCGAACGCAAAAAAAAATTCCCCTATAAATATAACCTAAGAATAACAAGTTACATTTTTCCTCCGTCAGAGATAAAATCGTCATTTAAAAGAAAACGGGAAATAATTTTAGATTAATCAGGATTTTGAATCTCACAAGAAAGTATCTGAAAAAAGAAATAAAAGCCTGGAATGATTGAGGCAGTATCCTGAAGAAATCACTAGCATATGGACTTATATTCATGTTTCAGGTTTGCAACCGATCACGGTAGCACTATCCATGTTTGGAAAGACAGGCATTGCTGCGTCATTCGCTTGTATTTATGTTTGGGCGGCAGAACTGTATCCAACCGTGGTCAGAAACACTGGAATCGGCATAGGTTGTTCTTTTGGGAATATTGGAGCTATGATATCCCCATATATAGCTGATATTGTATGTACTATCATCATGCACTTCAGTATTGAAATAATAATATATGTTCTCAATAATATCATATACAAGTATATTAATACACGGATTATTATATTAGACTACTGTCCTAGATTTTAAAAACACATAAATACATAGTTGCGTTAATTATTTCCTGACACTATTTCTGCACAGCGTAAACAATATTTGGTTTTATCGGTATTCTTAATTGACAATTGGTCATAGACTCACATGCTTCATCATTATGAAGAAGTGAGATAACATAATTAAACAAATCAGCCATATGTATAGATTTGCAGGCCACAATTTTACGTAATCATTATAAAATTTAAAACTTAAAGCAAGAAAGCAAAATCAAAATAAAATAAAGCCACAAGTCGAAAGAATTCGTACAGCACCGTGAACAAAAGAAAATTGCCGAAAAGATAAACAACAATCTAATGAGCGCTACACAGAAAATGCTGAAGAAGGGTAAGCTAAAGAATAAGGGAAGTTTTTGCTTGACAAGTGGCACCCCATGACATGCAAATATCCGTTGAAATATGACAAGCGGTAAATAAACACACTTTTGGTCACTTTTAACGCACAAATTCAAAAAGGAATTGTTTTACTAATACGCTTTATTATATTGTTGAAATGTCTTGCAAGTTGCAATCTTTGTTCTTTATAATTATTGTTTTATTTAATTCTTTGTAGAATAAACTAATAACAGGTAACTTGGGACGTGCTTTACCGTTTGTTATTTTTGGAAGTTTGTCCATCTTGGCTGGAATATTGTCATTATGGTTGCCGGAGACACTTAATCATAATTTACCTGAAACAATTGAAGACGGAATACATTTTGGAAGGTGATGTGTTGTTAATGTTAGAATTACTAGTATTCCTTTGAATACTGTGGGTCAGAAATCACTTCGTTTGAATGTTGTGCATTACACGTCTGAAACACCGGAGAGAGGAAAGCTACAGAATTGAAATTGTAATGCTACTTATTCTGTAGCAAGTATATGTTCAATATGCAAAAAAAATAATCTTTTATTCAATTCCAAAAGAAAATATTGTAGGAAATCACTGGGTATTTCTGACTAATTAATTGCCCTACTCTTTTCACTCATTCTACAGCGTAAACTAACCCGGCAATAATAATACAAAAAAGCTCTATGAAATGGATCCAGTAGTTTCAGTTATTGTCTTCTTTTTTTTTTTTTTGGGTGGGGGGGGGGGGGGAGTTTACATCTGTCTTATTACATTTTATTTGTCTTGTTCTAATATTGTACTCTATATTCAATATTCCGCAGTGTCGCTCCGATTGGAGTTCTATCGATTATCTTGGTCTTTTTACCTTTCTTTGTATATTAAAAACTGGATTTACGAGGTTTGAACAACGATATACTACTGTTGCTTCTTTTACTAATCATATTACTTAACAATTTGGTTTCAAGTTTTAAATTAGTTTGTGACGATGTCTTCTGTGTGTACCGAGTTTTTTCTCATTTTGTCTTTGCATTTATGTTTGGCTTTGTCTTGTATATGTTGCTTTGTCTGTTCTTTTTAATTTCTATTATATGTCTATTGGAAGAATAGTTACAGGTGATACATTTCGTAGATTGTAAAATTCAAAACGTTGATGGAAAATAAGTTCACATTGATGTTTTTTTTTTTTTTTTTTTTTTTTTTTCATATTCAATCATTTGGTAGATATTCATATCATCTCTAGTGCCGTAAGATATATGCATGGTACATTATTCTAGGTTTGTAGAAAATCATATGGAGGAAGTAGGAATTTATTGAGTCAAATTAGTATATTAGTATTCATCGATATTAAAACTCGAGTTGGTAAAGAATTTCTATTTCACAATTTGTAATTTCATTTATGACTTTTTTTCTTTATGAAAAAATTGTGTCTTGAGTTACAAGGGACTTTCGCATTAAAACTATTTCGATCTTGTTACTTACAAACTAGCTGAAGTTTTAAAAGAATGAATAAAAAGTACATATTTCATATTAGTTGTCCTACCAGGTTGATTTTTACATTTGATTATAAGTAGAAAAGAGAGGCAGAGGATACCAAAGAGATATGCAAACTCGTAACGCCAAGGCAAAAAAAAAAAACGAAAAACGACCAAAAGACAAACAACAGTTTACAAAACACAACAGACAACAAAAGACTTATCAACACGAATTCATCCAAAAAACGGGGTAGATCTCATGTGCTCCGGAAGGTAAGCAGATCCTGCTCCTCATGTGGCACCCGTCGTGTTGTGCATGTAGGTAAAAATTCGATGATATATCTAATTCGGCGATGTCACATTCAAGGAAAAGATCTATTAGAGGACGGGATTGTGTTTACGACAATTGGAACATATCCGTCCTCATCTGTGAAACAGACATTTCATAACGGTCAACTATTTCATGTTAGCGTCTGTAAAATTTACAAAAGGATGACTTCAACTTCACCACTTCGAACCCTTTGTTTAATAGTTTCTTTGTGTACAGCTATCCTCAATCAATGAAATCATGATAGGAAATGCAAGCTCTTTAATATCGTACCAACTGGGAGATATATACATCATATGCAGGAGCTGTGGAATCTTGCTACATAGAAATGGAAAGTTGGAAGCTGAAACGATCTCTTTTGTCTTTTAAGTTTGGAATGGGGAATACTTGTATAAAGTGTAAAAAGATTTTGTACTTTGGCAAAAGAAAAAAGACTTATATTTTATGTACTCTAACATACTATCTTTATAATTTTTTAGTGTCCACATCTGATTCATACCGCCCTACAGTATGTAATTTCACAATAACTCTTACGCCTAGCTTAAGTTGCTGATAAAATTGATATTTATAGTTTAGAAAGAGGTTGCTTTCGTTGAGGATTTGGAAGACCCAGCAAAAATAAATTTCTCTATAAGGACACTGAATAATATAATTTAAACGTCCAATAAAGTGAAGGAAGATCCAGTTTTTCATCTTGAGTTGAAATTTAAAAGGAATATAGAACAGACCTGTAATTATTCAGAATTTCCTCCACGGTAAGTGTCGTGGGTTTGAGTATCCAATACCTAGTTCCTTTATTAAGCTGGTTACGTAATGCGATTTACTTGCAAAAACGACGTTTTTTTTTTGTTTTTTTTTTTGGGTGGAGGGTGGGGGGGGCTTGATCTACGGGGACAACAACATACTTGCCATAGAGGTAGGAAAGGTTCTTGGCAACATTTGATATATACAGATTTTATGTAAATTTCATTGCAAAGGTAACTGATTATGTTCTTTTATTGTCTTAAATTTCTCCCTAATTACTGTTATTTTTATAAAGTTACCACACGTATGCCAATTTAATCATTTTACCGCTGGTATCTTTGACGTTAATTAGCAATATACAGAATCCAAAATGTCCAGGAAGAGAGTAAACCTTAACAAAGAAGAAAACATGTGAACAATCTATGAAAAGTACAAGGATGTAGTTCAGTTGCGTATTGATATTGAATTAAATAGTGTGAAGATTGCAAAAAAAAACATTACAATGTAATAGTTGATTTCATAAATACCTTTTGAATGAATAATCACAAAAAAGTCCTTTTCAATAAACAGTTATCATCATACAAGATCCATAAGCTGTTAAAATACTGATAATATCTTTAATATTACACAAAATTAGAACTAACCAAGGAGCAATCCAAATCATTAGTCGAAGAAAAATAGACTTCATCATTTAAAAGACAACAACTCCTATAAGTGATCAATGTCAACTTCATATTTAAGCAATACCAATCCTACCAAAATGCGAGGATGATCTCTCGTGTCTCGTATTCTTGCTCCATTAGTGGCACCCGCCACGTTTCTCATGACATGAAAATATCCTGTGATAAGTCAAAGACGAAGAAAGGAAAACAGGGTTATTGCAACCACAAATGAAATATGTCCGTGGTCATCAATTTATGAACTGCAACCAAGTCAACCGCAGTGAAACTTTTGAAGCAGCTGACATCAAGAAAAAGGTCTCACTCATATGCTATTTATCGAAAAACGATCTTTTGAAATTACTATCAACTTGAAATAGCTATCATGAAATACAAACAATTACTCGATCAGTTACAATACTCTGAGCATCATTCGTAGACAAGTTTTACCTTAGCTGTGTCTTTTTTTTGGGGGGACGCTATACTTTTAGGTCCTTTTGGTCATATAGCTTCTCCAATATTGAAAAAAGTTTTAACAAAAATACCGAACTCCAAGGTAAATTCAAAAATGAGGGAGTCCACAAAAACTGACAACGTACATCAAACGTTAGATTATATCAGGCATATTCCGAAGAAATGGGGGTTAAACCTGGCTTTATAGCTAACTACACCTCCCATACATCCTTGGCTATCAGAATGCTTGGATTTTTTTTTTTTTTTTTTTTTTGTAAAAATTCCTGTCGCCCGGACATGCCGGAAAACAACAATTGAACTGATATACCCTTATATTTTTTTCGTCTTCAAAGATGGGGTACAATTTTATAAAATTGATGAATTGAGTTCACTTGTAGAAATGAAGACATTGATTATCTCTACCTTACTTTGGTCTTTGTCGCATAGTTTTCTCTTTAGCAATCATTCCTAGTAGTAATATGTAATACGTTATGGAATATCCGTTTCACAGATGATATCGGATATGTTCTTGTTGTCGTAACTACAATCCCGTTCCCTTTTCACGAAAGTGACCTACCGAATTAGACCATTTACCGGCTTTGTAATAACATGAGCAACACGACGGGTGCCAGATGTGAGCAGAATCTGCTTACCCTTCCGAAGCACCTGAGATTACCACCACTTTGTGGTGGGGTTCGTGTTGTTGTTGTACCCTATTTGTGACATTTTTACCTATTGTGTATATTTTGTGCACACATCGTTGTCAATATAATGGAATTTGATGCGACTGTCATACAAGTGAGAGGTTTAGCTAGCTTTAAAACCAGGATTAATCCACCATTTTCTACATAAGAAAATGCCTGTACCATGTCAGGAATATGACAGTTGTTATCCATTTGTTTGATGTGTTTGAGCTTTTGATTTTGCCATTTGATTAGGGACTTTCCTTTTTGAATTTTCCTCGGAGTTCAGTATTTTTGTGATTTTACTTTTTGCTGTACTATCGATCATCGAAATATTAAATGCCCCTTAAGCATCAAAAATATCTAATACCACACAGGCATCCAAATATTTAATGCCATTCCAAAGACGAATTTTCATATAGTTGATATACTAAAGTCTTTTAAATGTCTTCATGGGGTTTTGGTGGTGTTCGTGTTGCTCAATCTTTAATTCTTTATGTGGTTTTTTTTGGAGACTGTTGTTATCCTTTCGTCTTTATGCGTTTTTGCCATGTTTTTTTCACTTTTCTCCGACTTTTGAGTTTTATTCTCCCTCTGGTATCTTCGATCTCTTGTTTTCCTAGTCTTCTCTATGAAACAAAATAAATACTTTAACTTGCAGCAAAACATCTGGAAAAAAGAATGGAAAATCCAAATAACAAGGTCAATCAACAATTCATAAAATTAAATTTTATAATAATAATCAGTAATTACAGAAAAAAACATGAAGAAAATGAATACGCATACAAAGCATCCCTCCGGATTTTTCTTTGAAAGAACTTCTATACATGAAAACAGCAAAATATGTTGGGTTAAACATGTTTTTTGACCCTTTTATAACGAATTAGTTTTTTTTTCAAATATTATTGTGGTATTGGTAAAATGCATGTTCATTTCCATCACCGGCAGGCATTGTTAGTAATGATTAAGTAGAATGAATCGAGTTCAAGAGTTGCAATGTTTCCTAATTAGCAGTATTTTAACTAAAATTGCTAGCGCGGGAGAATACTACACTTATTAAGGTCAGGGAATGAACAGTAAATGGGAGATGCTAAACATATTTAGAAGAATTTATTTTCAACCAAGTGTATGTAAAAAATGGTAATCGCCTTCTCCATGACAAATTACGGGCGTGAGCGAATACGAATTTCGAAGAAAGGAATTATCCTTTTTTGAAGGTAATATATCGTTTTTGAAAGTTAATACTTTGATTATTTTTACAATCGTTTATCAAACCTCATCAAAGATACGCCAGACGCGCGTTTTTGTCAACAAAAGACTCATCAGAGACGATCGAATACCATTAAAAGGGGTCTATTATCCCGATAGTTCTATCTTTTAAT